TAATACACATTTATAATTACAGTTACATTGCATGTTAAGTACTGAGAGAGGGTTGTATCAGACAGGTTGAATCTTGTGTAATAACCCAAATATTAGGGTTCTTTTGAAGTATGACAGCTAATTTGACTAGAGTACAGAGCCCTGTACTTCTGTATGACTCTATAGTCATACAGAAGGTATTACTTAACGTTATTTATGTTTCCAATTTAATGTGTATGAATTGATACCTGAAATACGGATTTTTATGTTGAGTTTCTTTGAGTCATTGAAGCTGATTTATATATGTGTATTTAAATTTTATCTGCTCTTGTAGGAACTCCTGTTTTATTCATTTTCTATTTTTCAGCTCTTTACATAGTATATGATTAGATTGATAGGAGCTCTGGTAGCATAGTGCCTAAGGCACTTGACTGCTAACTAGAAGGCTGGCAGTTCAAACCCACCAGCCACTCCTGGGAAGGAAGGTTGGGCAATCTACTTTCATAGTGATACTGCCTCGGAAACTCAAAGAGGGGTCGCTGTGAGTCAGGTGTGACTCAACAGCATGTAACAACAGTATGATTAGATTGTGGGTCATATTGTAGACATTTCCCATTAACTGGCTTTTGTTGCCATTAATTTTTCCCCGTCCACTTTAATGACATTTTAAATGTTTATATATTTGAGTCAGTCGACCTTTAACTTTTTTCTGTTTCTTTTGAATTTAATGTTCTTAGAGAATTATTATCCTTGTAGAGAACTGATAAATATTCATACTATTTTCTATTTTTATCTGTGATCTCTTTTTTTGTATGACTAATTTATTTGAGATTGATTTGTCCACTTCATCTGTATTATCAGCTTTGTTGATGAATGGGTGCTCAAACAAAAATGTAACTCAGGATTTGGTAAGACTTCAGTTATTTTTAGACATCAGTTTTAGACAGATCATGCATGAACAACTCATCAACAGAATTTAACTGACCAAAGCAAAATAAGAACTACATTTTATAATATCTGAATTACCAGATCTGAACTAATGCCCAACCAGGGACATGCTCTTTTAGTTGCCTAATAATGACTATAAAATGAGGTTTGGGAGAACATGTAGCATGGTAACTAAAACATGGGCTTTGGAGGCATTATTGAATTTAAACCCCAACTACCACTTATTAGCTTCTTAACTTAAATTCTTTAACATCTTGAGTTTTAAATTCCTCTTGTATAAAATGGGATTATATTCCTATTTCTCAGGGAGTGAAAATTAAACAAAACAGTAGATATAACTTAGCTTAGTACTTTATACATAGTAAATACAGAGCAAATAATTCTTGCAGTTAATTCTATGTACAGGATATTAATTTGGAATGAAAATTTCTTGTCATTAGCTTTTCAACCTGGCATCCCTACATTTACTTCCTTTCTGAATAGATAAAACCTGTTTGTAATGTTATTTTTCGATTTAACTTGGTAATTGCAGTGATTAAAGTGTTTAAATGTTTTTACTTTGACATTTAATCTTCATAAGTCTTTAATTGTTAAAGTTCTACAAAGAGAAAAAAGAGGCAGTCAATTGACTGCTTGAAATTCATGATTCAAATTTTCCTCTAAAGAATATTTCACCCTAATTGTAGTCTTTTCTGGTACTTCAAAGGTAAGTATGAACTTTTCTGTAATAAACATAGCAATAAGAGGAATGTGGAATTATATTTCATTGGCCAAAGGATTTATAGATTTGAGAGGTTTTTTTTTTTTTTTTTTTTTGCAAACCAGTAAGTTATTTATTTGGCATTAACAAGGAATTAATGCATTAACTATAGAGCATTCTGAAGAGAAAGTAATATTTTATAGAAGATCATTGGTGTGAACATTAATAACTACTTTGTGCATTTCTGTATTAATACCTTGAAGGGCATTTGAAATTAAGTGGGACTCTTTGCCCTTACACTAAGTAACTTAAACCTAATCATTTTAAAAATTACTTTCTGTTTTTTTAATTGTTTGTTTTGGTCTTTCCACTGCTGATGGCTACTGACTACTGTTTCTTGTGTTTGGCTGTGTGTGCGCCAAAGCAACCATTCTTTTCCTTCCTTCCTTTCTTTCCTGTTTGGCTTTTGGCAACTGAGTTGTAGCCAAAACTGGTTATTTTACTTTGTAACTAAGTTCCAGTTGTTTTTTTTTTTTCCCCTTGATTTTGACTTGCTTTTCTTTTGGACAAAATCCTCTGATACCTGAACTTTTAGGAGGAACAGATATTAAGTCTTATGAGCCAGGTGGTCTATTAGTTTTCTATTACTGCAAAAAATTACCACAAACTTAAGTGGCTTGAAACAACATAAATTTATCCTCTCACAGTTCTGGAGGTTAGACTTCCTAAAATTGGGTTGTCAGGGCTGTGTTCCCTCTGGAGGCTCTAGAGGAGAATCATTTCTTTACTTTTTCTAGCTTTGAGAGACCATCCACATTCCTCCGTCTTCAGTGCCAACAGTGTGGCATCTTCCACTCTGCTCCAGGTCCTGCTTTCATGGCACATCGTTCGTCTCTGTGACCCACCTGCTTCCCTCTTATCAGGGCTCTGTGATTATGTTGGGCCCACCCAGATAATGTAGCATAATCTCCCCATTTCAGGATCCTCAATTGAACCATATCTACAGAGTCCTTTTTGCCATTTAAGCTAACATGTTCTCAAGGTCTATGGCATAGAGCATAGACATCTTTGGAGGATTTTTTTCAGCCCACCATAGGTGGTCTACAAATATGTTAATAATCCTAACATAGTATGGCAAATAATAGGAATAATACAGCTGATGCTCGATTTTCTCAGAGTTGAAGCATCTCATGTAAGTTAAAAAGTAGGGAATCTTTCTAGAGCAACTCCTGGTTGAACTGATTTTGGAGGATGAGAGGAACTGATCAGGTAAAAAAGGCATGAGGTGTTCAGAACGTCATGGTGAAGGTATAGCAGAGGCAACCCCTGTAAGACTACTGTTTTTGTAGTTAATAGTACTTTGACATAATCACAGTAATGGATCTGAACGTATAGTAGAAGGGACATCTGAGTTGGAATAAAGAGAAAAGAAACCCACTGCCATCAAGTCGATTCCAACTCCTAGCAACCCTCATTGGATTTCCAAGGCTGTAAATCTTTATAGAAGTATATTGCATCATTTCCCTCCTTTGGAGTAGTTGGGTGGGTTTGAATCACTGACCTCTTTAGCAGCCAAATGCATTGCTCTCTATGTCACCAGAGCACCTTAAGTTGGAGTAGTTGTTGTTATGTGCTGTCAAGTCAGCCCCGACTCATAGCAACCCCTCCTTGGGTTTCCTAGGTGGTATCGCTACGGAAGTAGATTGCCCAACCTTCCTTCCGAGGAGTGGCTGGTGAGTTTGAACCTCCAGCCTTCTAGTTAGCAGTCAAGTGCCTTAGGCACTATGGCACCAGAGCTCCTTAAGTTGGAGTAAGGGGTATATAATAAGAGACTTTTATTCCATCCCTTTCTTTTAATAGCTGATCTCCCTTGGTAGTTAGCCTCTCAATTGGTACAAGATCCTTTGTTCTTTTTTTCACTGCTGCCCATTCAAAGTATGGGAGAATCAGAAATCATTCCATTTCATTATTAATATTTTAAAGGACACTTATATTACAAGCTTGGGTTTTGTTTTGTTTTGTGAAAGCCCTCGTAACCAAATGAGAATATTGGGTGGGAATAGGGGGAAGAGGGCTAAAGCAGTTTTGAGTCCACCAGACATACAATAAAAGGCCATTTGTTTAGTTGTGGTTCTGAAACTAAACCTCATGTAGCCAGTGATTATCAGGGGAAAGGTGAGGGCCCCAATACTTGGGATCTCTTTGTGCCTACCTGTTCCCATTCCTCTGTAGAGGACAAGTAAGGGATGGGTCCTACACAGAAGCCATATTCCCCAGGTATTGCTGAGGCAGTAGAGACTGGGTTCCTCTGTCCCTAGCTTTTCCTATGACAGCTGTACCAATAAATCGTCACGCTGGAGAGCCAATTCACAGCTTTGCTTATTGAATACAGGTCAGGTTTCTACCTCTTGTTTTAACCCAACATTTTATGATTTTCCACTCTTCTCTAAAACTCCTGTAATCAGTTCAGTATTTGTCAAGTACTGTACACATTTTGTTTTCTACAGCATTTGATGTGATTTGTGTTGATATTTAGTCAGTTGGACATTTTTAGCTCTGATAATAGTGCTAATAAAAGAGTATCATTGCAACCCATTTTCATTAAAGGTGGTATTACAATAGAATCCAATTAATGAGTCTCAATTTGATGATTTCATATTAAAATGAATTTTTTTAACCATCAATGTTGCAATAACAATTACTGACAAACATTATTGCCATTGATAACTTAATTGAACAGTATACCAGTATGACAAATAACTGATAAACAGAGTAGGGTTTGAATCTCAGCATTCTTGTTTTTCTAACTGTATAGCCTAGAAAGAGCTACTCAAGCTCTCCACATCTGTTTTTTCATCTATTAAGTAAAGGTAATAACAACATTACAGGTTGTTGAGAAGATTCATATTTGTAACATACTTTGCATATAGAATATGCTTTTATAAAACCTAGTAGCATTTATTGTTCTTGATAATTATTAGTACAAGTTAACATTAGTAAACTTTATATTTGTATTCTGTGGTTAAAAAAACTCTACTTACAAAACTTATGTTTTGTGTTAGGCTCTAGAGTAGTACTTAACAATTGAGAGGTAGGGTAGCATGGTTAAAAGCATGAACTCTGGGTTCAAATTGCAGCTCCACCGTTTATTACAGGGCTGAATTTGGACAAGTTACTTATATGCTTTGTGCATCACTTTCCTCATCTGTGAAGTGGACATGACCGTAGCACATTCCTTGCAGGGTTGTGAATCAGATAAGGTATAGGTATATAAAGAGTTTAGAATAGTGGCTGAAACATCGTACTACATGTCAGTTATTTTTATTATTAATTTGTTGAGTAAGTTACTAATTTTTTAATTTTTATTTTTTAGGTGAATCTTGGAAGTAATCAGTACCTTTTCTCTGTCATAGTGGATCCTAAAGAAATGCCCTGCTTCTGTTTGCGCCATGATGTTGATGCCCTTCTCTGGCAGCCACACTCCGGCAAACAAGATGATATGTGGGAGCACATTGCAACTTTCAATGCTTTAGGTAAAAAGCAGACTCTTTGACAGTATTTTCTATCACATCAAAAATTATAGTCATCAAGTTTTTAAAGTTCTTTTTTTTAAAAAAATTTGAACTGTTATAATTACATTTGGATTGATTTGAGCTATAATTTGATTGCTAGTTACAGTGTAGTAAGTTACCTGGTATGGCTTTTCTAGCCATAAGTCTTTGTAAACTCCATGGTGGAATTTGCCATTAGCAACTGAGTAGCTCCTGATTATTAAAGTTATCCACATGGGGTATTTCTGTTGAGAGTGGCACGAAGCAATCTTCTGGGAAGTTCTCTCTCTCTCAGGTGTATAGACTTCTGATGTTAAGATTGGTTAGTTTGGCTACTCTGCCAGGCTCCAAAAGAGCCCTCCTAGAAGCAGAAGGAGTCTCTCACTGCCAGCTGAGAGACGCGAGAGGCACGCACTGCTGAGAGACAGACACGAGAGACATGCACTGTTGAGAGAGAGACTTAAGAGACATGTGCTGCTGAGAGAGAGACTGCTGGCTGCTAAGTGAGACAGCTGGCTGTGAGACACTGAGTGCATTTCTGAACTTGAATTGTAGCCTGTTGCTTCCCTAATAAACCCCATAATTTGTGAGTTCTGTGTGGCCACTGAAGCTAATTATTGAACCCAGCAGAGAGGTGGTGAGTGCTGCAGGAGGAACAGTTGGTGAAAGGGCTGGAGGGAGGCAGCATGTCTGGCCTTGCAGGAATAGGCCTTGAGCTACTGATAGTGATTCTATCTTCCTCGTGTGGGGTTAGAGGAGGTCAGAAGATGAGGTCTCCTTGCCCCTTTGGCGCTAGTTCTAGAGTCGATGAAAGTTACATTATTGGAATGTTGTTGTTAGGTGCCATCCAGCCATTTCCAATGCATAGTGACCCTGTGTACAACAGAAGGAAATACTTTCCAGTTCTGCTCCATCCTTGCAGTCGTTACTGGGTGTGAGCCCTATTGTTGCAACCGTTGTGTCAGTCCATCTCAAGGGTCTTTCTCTTTTTTTGCTGACCCTCTGTGTTAGCAAGCATGATATCCTTCTATAGGGACTGGGACCTTCTGATAACACGAGTAAAGTGAAACAGATGAACTCTGCCCATTCTCACTTGTAAGGAGCATTCTGTCTGCCCTTCTTCCGAGACAGATTTGTTCGTTCTTCTGGCAAACCATGTTATTTTCAATAGTCTGTTCACTAACACCACAATTCAAGTCCATCAGTTTTTCTGCAGTCTTCCTTATTCATTATCCAACTTTCACATGCATATGAGGCTATTGAAAATGCCATGGCTTGGGTCTGATGCACCTTAGTTTTCAGAGTGACTTCTTTGCTCTTTAACACTTTAAAGAGGTCTTTTGCAGCAGATTTGCCCAATGCAATATGTCCTTCCTTTAATTTCCTGACTGCTTTTTCCAAGGATGTTGATTGTGGATCCAAGTAAAATGAAATCCTTGACAGCCATTAGAATAGTCAGACTAATCTATGTTTGTACATATAAAGAAGATCAACTCAGAATAGAAATCAAAATGTTCTTCTAAGCATGTGACTTATTTTAATCACATATTTGCTTATTCTGATTTAGCTACACAGTGTTAGAGTGTAGCAAAGGACTTGGTGTTAAGGAACTTGTATTCAGGCTTCATCAGAGTAATCTTCAAAAACATGATAGAATTGCTCGAACATAATTCACATTAGGAAACATCTTTCATGGAACTGTAGCGTGGAAAGTCATTATAATGAAAACACTTAATGGAAAGTGGTGATAAGCAGAAATTAAATATTCTGTGAGATACAAGGGAAAATACCAGTGTTAAAATTAGAGCTTGAAAATATGTTAAACTATATAATTGTAGACTTATACAATAATTGATTTAAGTCTATTAGTACTGTGTGGGAGAATTTTTTTCTATGAATTTGCCACAGTTATTGCATTCCTGAAAGGTTATTTTAACCAGCAGTAGGAAGTAAAATTATGCATTTTAATGGCTATATATGCAGAACCGTAATTGAAGAAGGGCTTTGTCAATTACCTCTTACAGTTGAATAACAGGTTGTTAAACTGGTTAGTTCAGAATCCAAATGATTTTTTATGACCTGAAATACAAGGTTTGATTAAAGAATTTAACCACATAATTTCTAGCCTCTTGATTGCAATTCCTATTGTTTAATTATCTTTCTTCTCTCTTAACAGAAAAGCAGAACAATATAATTTTTATATACTCAGACCCTCCATTTGTACCTCTCAGTTGTCCTTTATAGAGGAATTTACTATACTTGAGGTTAAATTAAGTCATTTAAACTCTGAGCATTACATTAGATATGTAATTGTTAGATACTATTATATACATTATTAATTTTATCAATATTATCCTCAAGTGCTAATTCTAAGCTACTCAAATGGGTATCTACATCTTCTTAATTTTTTCATTTTCAAACCCTGCTTGACAATAAAAAAACATTATTGACCTGCCTGTGCTAAAGTTCCTTGGCTCGTTCATTGTTTGGTGAGATTTTCGTTTACATTATTACATATATGTGTGTGTGTGTGTGTATGTGTGTATATTATATATTTTATATATATATATATATTTCACATGTCCCAGTTTGAAAATCCCAGTTGATATTTCAGAAGATAAACATCCTCTTATCTGTAAAGGTACTTTTAAAACATTACATGAATAAAAAGACAAGATTAGAGTATATTTCAAAATTTAATTAGTGTTCATGGGATGTTCTAGTTCAGATTTTAAAATTAGACACTTCTTTTGAGTTTATAGTCATCTCAGGGTTCTTCTTCTGGGGGCCGTACAACAAAATCTGGTTACAATGTTGATATTGGTATAATATTAACTAACTTTATGGACTGTTAGGAGAATGCATGGTGAATATCAGTACCTTCAAAAGGAGGGGCCTGCATTATGATCACACTCCTGAAATAACTTTATGATAGTATTCTATAAACATTTTCCCATTTATTAGATAGGAGAGAGAAAGAAAGATTCTATAAAATCCTATCTGTGATTCATGAGCCTAAATATTAAATTGACATTTAAAGCTATTTTGGCATGTTCATAGTGCTGTCCTTTATAATTTTTAGTATTTTAGTTATTCATAGAAATTAATTGGAACCATATTGTGCTTTTCTTGGGGAGATTGAAGCCTTCTCTATTTTGTTCTTTAGGAATCAAAGCTGTATTTTTGCACCCATTGGGAGAGGTTGCTTGCAGCTAATCATCAATAGTTCAGAATGCAGCCATTGCGTGTTTGTGGAATTTATTTGAAATAGGCATTTTAATTTGTAATAAAAATTAGGAAATGTAAATGTTAATTATGTATTTTTCTTCTTCTGTTTAATACACATTTTTTCCTTTGTCTTCTGTTTCCTGGCAGGCTACGTCCAAGCATCAAAGAGGGACAAAAAGTTTTTTGCCTGTGCTCCCAATTACTCCTATGCAGCTCTTTGCGAGTGCCTGCGCCGAGTGTTCATCTATCGCCAGCCCACGCCCATGTCCACTGTACTTTACAACAGAAAGGAAGGCAGGCACGTAGGGCAGGTTGCTAAGCAGCAAGTAGCAAGCCTAGAAACCAACGATCCTATTTTAGGTTTTCAAGCAACAAATGAGAGATTATTTGTTCTCACTACCAAAAACCTCTTTTTAATAAAGATAAATACGGAGAATTAATTCCCCCAACACATGGCTTCTCTGTACCGAGAAACTATTCAGTGGTAGCTAGAGGGCTGGGAAGTTACACTGTAACCTGTTAAGTTTTGATGTATTAAATAAAAATATACTATGTAATTTAAAAAAAAATTTTTAAAGGACAAAGAGATTATGATTCTGTAAAAGATATACTAGGCTATAGGATGAAGATACAGATTTAGAGAATTGGCTTCTGTAAAAATGTAAAGATAATATTGGCAAGTATAATTATTTTTAAAAAATAGAGGCTAAAATCTCTTTTTATATGAAAGATACATAATCCATTGTTAAAAAAATAAAATATTTATTCTGTACTCTTTCTTCCTTGATACAGTATCACGTTCTATACCCACAGAATGTATATGATTGTAGTTAAAATGAAGTTTAATTAAAAGATTAGAATATCTTAAGTCAAGAAAAAAATACTGTACTTGTTCATCTTTACAATTTTGTTCTGTTCATGAAATGATTTCTTTGAGTATGGTTCATCAGTATCTTTACTGTTACATGTTTTATAAAGTCCTATAAACTTATTTAAATGGATTCAATAGTTAAGGTAGAGGAGAAAATACCAGAGGCAGGTCTAAATAGTCTCAAGCTTTGTTAAAAACTGAAAACCAAACTCATTGCTGTCGAGTCAGTTGTGACTCATAACGACCCCTCCTTGGGTTTCTGAGGCAGTTATCTCTACAGAAGTAGATTGCCCAGTCTTCCTTCCAAGAAGTGGCTGATGGGTTTGAACCACCAGCCTTCTGGCTTGCAGTCAACTGCCTTAGGCACTATGCTACCAGAGCTCCTCAAGCTTTGTTAGAGATCTTAATTGTTTCTCAAATTAGTTATAGCTTTACTTAATTTTTATACATTTGCTCTGCCAGAGACCTTAATTGTTTGGTAAATTAGTTACAGCTTTACTTAATTTTTGTCCATTTGCTCTGCCAAAGATGGAGAGAGGGAGAGAGAGATGATAAGGTTTCACAAATTGTAGCTGTTTATTACTGTGTAACAACCCCAAAACTCAGCAGTTTGAAACAATGGCATTTTGTTATTTCTCATAATGTAATAGATTAACTGGACAGTTCTGGGTTGGATGGCGGCTTGTCTCTTCTCTGCATGGCCTCACATCCTCCAGTAGTCCCAGCTGGCTTCTTTCCATGATGGAGAAGATATTCCAGAAGGGCAAGCCTGAAAGCATAGGAACTTTACAAGCCTCAGTTTCTACCGTATTTGCTATGTCCCATTGGACCAAGCAGTTACATGGCCAAGGCTCAAGTGAGTGTGGGAGGGGACTACAAAGGGCATAGATAATTATCTGATTCATTGAGGAATTCTAGTGTAGCAGTCTACCACACAAAGGGATTATGGTTTGTCCTTGCAGCTTGAACAAACCTATTTATACTTCAGATAAGGAGCTCTGCTGGCACAGTGGTTAAGGCATTTGGCTGCTCACCAAAAGCTGAGCGGTTCGAGCCTACTCTCTGCCTGACCAAGATGAGGCAGTCTGCTTAAGATTTGCAGCCTTGGAAACCTGATGGGGCTCTAGTCTGCCTTAGAGGATCTCTATAAGTCAGAATCAACTGAGTGACAGTGGTTTTTGGTTTATAAATTTTTTTTTTGCCATGAATGTTAGCTCCCCATATTTCTATTACTTCCTCAGATTTCTTTTGGTTTGCATTTACCTGGGAAATGTTTTGCTTTTTATATCATTTTTAGTTGATATAATAAATTTCAAGTTAGATTTTGTATTTGGATAAGGTAGTTAAGACCTGAATTTAAGAGGTAGAAAAGAGAGAGGCTGTCTCTCACCTGTCAGGACAGGCATTTGACTGAATTAAATTTAGGAAAAGAAGGAAAAATAAGTTTGAGAGATATGAAGAGAAAAAAGATGGGAGTTGTATGCATGTGATAAATTCTATGTCAGAATGCAGTCTCCTAGAGAAAAGAAACTAGGATGCTAGATTAGGTGGGAAAAATGATTTTGAGATCTGATAGCGAATTGGGAGTACTCCATTACTACTGGGAGATCGTAAATGTTGAACATCATGAGGTAATAAGCATAGAAAAAAGGTACTTGGTTGAACCAAAAATCAGTGCCATTCCCAGAACTTTTTTGTGTCACTGTAAAAGAAACATGAAACAAACGACCATTTACATAGTCAACTAGTGAAAATCTTTATTGTATAAAAGTTGATTTAAATTGTCTTTAATAGTTTTGCCAAAGATCACACATACCCCCTTAGAAAATAGAAAAATGCAGGTTAATGTATATATGCAAATTTTCAGCCAGTCATCAATTTTCTCTCCTTTATAAATGGGAATTTATAAAATATTTATGATAATAAAGTGTGCATATTAAAATTTATGTAACAATTTTTATTCTTTTAACGTTTATTAAGCATCAGTTATATACCATAATAAAATGTTTTCAGTGCTAAGGGTTATACAGTGGTTAAAAAAACAAGAGTGTACATTCCACTGATTTTCAGGTAAAATTTCCTTTTCGGGAATGCAAAGGAAGTAGGTGGAGACGCTAGTTGCATTGCTAAAAAGAAGTTTGATCAAGAATCGAACCTTGGAGAAACAATAAACAGGCAGAAGAGTTGCCAGTTGGAAGGGTGAGAAGATAAGAGCATGTCAAGAAATTAAGAATGGTAAACAGTGTTAAGTAATGTTACTGAAATAATGAACAGCTATCACATTTCTACATGGAAGGAAAATTACTATACAGGTTAAACTATCACCGTTCAGGGATTTGGGTTTCCAATGCTTTATTTGTGATTATCTACAGACACTTGCCTGCTAACCAGACGGCTGGCAGTTCAAACCCACCTGCCACTCCTCGGAAGGAAGGTTGGGCAGTCCTACTTCCGTAGTGATACTGCCTCGGAAACCCAAGGAGGGGTCGCTATGAGTTGGGTTTGACTCGACAGCACATAACAACAACAGAGATAGGAGGGAGGTCTGGTGGCGTAGTGCCTAAGGCATCTGACTGCTAACCAGAAGGCGGGTGGTTCAGACCCACCAACCATTCATAGGAAGGAAGATTGGGCAATATACTTCTGTAGAGTTACTACCTTGAAAACCCAAGGAGGAGTCACTATGAGTCAAATCCGACTTCAAGGCAGTGAGTTTGGTTGTTTTGGTTTACAGAGATGAAAACAAATGGTAAGTTTATATATGGCAAGTAATATAATAAAGCAAAACTAGTATTGTGCTCCTGTTGTTAGGTGCTGTTGTGTTAACTCTTGACTCATAGAGACCCTGTGTATCAAATAGATTCTGACTCAGTGACCTACATTGGGTTTCCAAGGCTGTAAATCTTTATGGAAGTAGATTGCCTTATCTTCCTCCCATAGAGCAGCTAGTGGGTTTGAACTGCCAACTTTCTTATTAGCAGCCAAATGCATTATTGTACTGTTGTTGTTGTTGTTATTTGCTGTCAAGTCAGACCTGACTCATAGCGACCCCTCCTTGGGTTTCTGATGCAGTATCACTATGGAAGTAGATTTCCCCATCTTCCTTCCGAGGAGTGGCTGGTAGGTTTGAACCGTCAGCCTTCTGGTTAGCAGTCAAGTGCCTTAGGCACTATGCTACCAGAGCTCCCATTGTTAATTACTAGCCATTGTACTAGCCTTGGTTAATTACAAGAAGGATATTTTATTAAGTTCTTAGTACTGAGCATATACTTAGCACGTAATAGTAGTTGAACCTAATAATGGGGGTGTAGTAAATATAAGGAGCCCTGGTGGCACAGTAAGGAGTTCTGGTGGCATGGGGCCTAAGACATTTGACTGCTCACTAGAAGGTTGGTAGTTCAAATCCACCAGCCACTCCACAGAAGAAAAACTGGGCAGCCTGCTTCCATAAAGATTTGCCACCTCGGAAGCCCAGTGGGTTTCGCTAGGAGTTGGAATCGATGCAATGGCAGTGGATTTTGTTTTGTTTTTTGGGTGGTGCAGTGGTTAAGTACTCGGCTGTATCCCAAAGGTTGGTGGTCAAACCCACCAGCTTCTCTGTAGGAGAAAGATGAGGCAATCTGCTTCCATAAAGATTTACTTGTTGGAACCTATGGGGCAGTTCTTCTCTGTCCTAAAGGGTCACTGTGAGTCAGAATCAATTTGATGGCAACAGGTTTGGTTTGGTTTTAGAGTAAATATACCAATGAGAAGTGAGCCTTTCTAAAATTAGCATAAAATAATAAATGTGCAATAACAGCTCAGGTAATTGGTACCCAACCAGATAAAGATATATTGTATAATACATATCAAGATATATATTAGTGAAGCACTAATGCAAAATATAAATGCATACATGTTTTATTTAGTTTTTAGAAGAAAAAATTTCTAATCTCAAAGTTAACAAGGTTTCTTAAAATTGAGAAAACAAAATATAAGGGGAAAGATTGATGAATTTGACCCTATTAGAATGTAAAATATCTTTATCACCTGGTTCCATTACCAGTGCTGAAAGACAGACAGACTGGGAAGAGGTGTTTATCATATACATAATAGATGAGTTTTACAATCCCTAATATAAAAAGAACTCCTAAAATTTAAATTAAAAAACACAGTAAAAAAATGGGCAAGAAATATGAAGTCAATTCATAAATAAGGATATACAGATGACCAGTAAATCTTTGAAAAGATGGTCATTCTTCAAGGTAATCAGGGAAATTGGTAAACATTATTTTAGATACTGGCCCGAGTATGGGAAAGCCATGTATTGGTGTTTATGAGAAGCCTTTGGTTAGTTCCTCTTTACAAAAGGCCTGCAAATCCACTTGACGTTTGTTTTGTAACGTAATATTTTGTTCCTTTCTCATGAAAGATGGAGTTAATACACATTGACACTTCAGCAAGTTCCACTAAGATTTATGTGCCATTTTTCAAAATAGATACTCTAGTGAAAAGTCTTTGTTCATGAAATCTTTTCTCCTGTTTAAATTTTCTATTTAAATATATATATATATATATATATTTCTTGTTGTTGTTATGTGCCGTCGAGTCGGACCCAACTCATAGCGACCCCTCCTTGGGTTTCCAAGGCAGTATCACTACGGAAGTAGATTGCCCATCTTCTGAGTAGTGGCTGGTGGGTTTGAACCACCAGCCTTCTGATAAGCAGTCAAGTGCCTTAGGCACTACGCTACCAGAGCTCATATATATGTGTGTGTGTGTGTGTGTGTGTGTGTATATATTTGGGGAATACCTCTTAGTTCCTCAAATGACGTAAGGAAGTTATGATTCGGTATCACCCAGGTTCTGTAGTTCTGCCTTGGAGGGGAAATAGAAGGAGCTAACCATTTTAGATCGTATTA